CTGTGTCCCTGCAGCTCTGCAGGCCAGCCCACCCACCATCATGGATAGAACCTCAGTGGGGCTGTCTCTCGGCCAGCATCCCCCTGCCCAGTGCCTAGAGCCTTCCAGATCTCTCCAAAGCTGAACTCTTCTTCTGTGAAAACCTCCCAGGCCTGTCCCAGGACATACAGAACTGCCACCCCCTGGTAGCCCCACTGGACTCTCACTTCCTGTGGGGATAGCCTGCCACTGCTGGTTCCAAAGGCACAGCACAAAGAAGACAAAGAAATTGTGATGAAAGAGAAATGACCCAGGGAAGACAGGCGGGAGGAGGGAATCTGAGGCCAAGCAGCCAGAGCTGTGACCTCGCCATCCCAGCCATCTCAGAACGGATGTGGGGACCCATCCCACCACGGCTATGCCATCCATGTCTCCTTAGAACCACTCTGACCTGTTTTCCAGCTCATCTGCATCAAAGAGAAGAGCTGTCCTGACCACAGTTCAGCCTCCAGATCACCAAGATATGAATTCACGAGTGCTGAGCGGCACTGGTACAAGACTGAATCCTGAGCACGGCCCTCAGAAAACGATCACACTCGGTGCCCCCATCAGAGAGGAAGAATCTTCAGACTCAGAGGTTGTCACTCCAGAGACAGAATCATAGCCAGGGATATGAGATCACATTAAATAAAGGCGCCTGGTGCCATCTTATTGTCTAAGTGTAGTGCCCCGTGCTAATCACCTGGGTGACCGTTCCCATCCTGACCCCTTCACATTCCAGCCTTCTCACCTGAAACTTTTTGTTTCTCCTTCATCCTTCCAAGTCATCTGCTGTTGGCTGCGATGACAGTGACCACATGCTGGTTGAGTGACCACACACTGGCAAAGTGACCACATGCAGACTGAGTGACACACACAAGCCAAGTGACCGCATGCAGGCTGAGTGACCACACACAGGCTAAGTGACTGTATGCAGGCCAAGTGACCACATGCTGGCCAAGTGACCACACTCAGGCCGAGTGACACAGGCCAAGTGATTGCACACTGGCTGAGTGACTGCACACTGGTTGAGTAACCACACAGTCAGAGTGACTGCATGCAGGGCGAGTGACCTCACACAGGCCGAGTGACCCCATGCAGACCAAGTGACTACATGCGGGCTGGGCACACACCAGGCGTTCACCCAGTGTAGGGGTGCAGGCATGGGTCTGCACCCCCTCGGCCACCAGCCGCTGTCCAACTTTGAGCAACACTTTAATCAGCGGTGAGCCTGTTTCCTCTTGTATAAAATAGTGGCGTGGAATTTCTCACTCTCCAAGGCCCATGGAGCAATACAATTCTGATTCAATTCATTTGGGCAGAAGGAAGCCCTCCCATGTGTCCCACTGGGCGTCAATGATGAGCCCTGGTGTTTGGGTCTCGGTGAGTTAGGAACTGCCAGGGGCATCAGGGAGGCAGGTGCTGAGGCTCAGGAGACCTGCCAGGGCACCCCGCTCTGCCTGCAGCACTGTGTCCTGGGCACCTGCTATCCATCTAAGTTTTCAGGGATGCCACAGACCACTGTCATGATGGAGGCTGGTGGCAATGAGGAGGAGCAGCTCTTGGGACACGGGCGAACAGGGCAGTGGAACAGGAAGATCAGAGAAAATCCAGGAATCTAAGCACATGATGGTGCCACCACCAATGAACCCCTGGAGCATTGCACGCACATAGTCGTACATGGGTCTCAGGACGGCCCTGTGAGATAGGTGGCATCCTGTCCCTTGTTCTGTAAGAGGAAACCAGAGCCAAGAGCAGCCCAGGATGATGCTGATAGCAAGGGCAGAACTGGGGTGGGACCAGGGAGTGGGTCAGGGTGTGGAGCCAGGGTGTGGGGTCAGGGTGTATGCTTAGGATGTAGGGTCAGGGTTTAGGCTCAGAGTGTGGGGCCAGGTGTAGGGTTAGAGTATATGGGGCCAGGGTTTAGGGTTAGGGTATAGGTTAGGGTGTGGCACCAGGTGTAGGGTTAGGGTATAGGACAAGGGTGTAGGATTGGGGTATGGGGTCAGGGTGTAGGGCCAGGTATAGGGTTAGGGTGTCAGGCCAGGCTGGCAGCTCTGCTGTCACCACCCAAGCTCCAGGAACATCATCACAGACCGATTCGTAAAGCAGAGTTGTCCTGGTCCAGAAGAAAAAGGAATGAGGATGCACTCCTTCTTTTACTTGTGATAAAACATCATATTTATCAGTTTAACTCTTTGTAAGTGCACAAAGAGTTAAACTTGGCCTACATACAGCACAATGTTGTACAACCATCACCAATTTTACATGCACAGCCTTTCCATCATTCCCAATAGAAACTCTAAACCATTAAGCAATAACTTCTTGTCCCCTCTTCCAGCCCCTGGAAACTACTATTCATCTTTCTGTCTCTGTGAATTTGCCTATTATAGGAACTTCTTATACGTGGAACCATAATGTGGTTGCCCTTTTGTGTCTGGCTTATTTTATTGAACATAATGTCCTCAAGTTTCATCCCTATTATGTGTCAGAATTTTACTCTTTTAAAAATCTGTATATATTTCATTGCATGTATGTGTGTGTGTGTGTGTGTGTGTGTACACACACACACGTCATCACATGTTGTTTCTCCATTCATTTACTGAGGGACACATGAGTTCCTTCTTTCTTGGGCATTGTGAATAATGCTGCTGTGAATAGCGTGGACAGATAAGTTCTTTTGAATAGGTATCCTAGGAGTGGAATTGCTGGGCTGTGTGGTCATTCTGTGTTTAACCTTTTGGGGAGCTACTGGACTGTTTTCCAAAGTGGCCACATCATGTTGCATTCTCCCCAGCAATGTGAGAGGGTTCTTGTTTTTCCATATCCTCCCTGACATTTGTTTTTTTTTCTTTCTTATTATTCTTACTATAGCATTCTTGAGGAAGGACTTCTTAAATAAAACTTTGGCAGTACATATGACACATCCTAAGCATTAATGAATTCAACTCCCTGGCCCATGATACCATACTCATCATATTTGTCCCAATAGAAATGTTTGAAGAAAATTTTCACCGTCACTCTCATGGGACTCTGTGAGGTCACTATGGTACTGGCCTGTATGTACCAATTTGCTTTTGGGTATCTTAAAGTTGCTCTTATTCTTAAGTGGTGATCTTTCTTTGTTCTATTTTTTTTTTTTTTTTTTTTTTCCTGAA